CGTCTTTCACTGTGAGAAAATTGGAAAGCAACAAGAACCAGATGTCCTTTCGGAATTCTTGCCGAAACTCTCGGGAGTGGATTCAAGGTTACCAAAAAGACTAGCGGAGGCCTGCTCTTCGAAATTCAGGACAAAGAACAATTCGAAAAGCTAGACGGCCTCTAAACTTCTGTTGGGGTACCGATCACCGTAACACCACACAGATCAATGATTACAACTCGCAGAGTGATATCTGGCGCAGACTTACTTGACCTGACCAAAACTGAACTTTTGGAGGGGTGGGAGAGCCATAATGTGACTAATGTACAGATAATCATCATCAGAAGAGATGACAAGGAAACACCAACGAAACTCTTAACACTCACGCTTGCTTCCAGTGAACTCCCATAAACCATTCAAACAGACTGAGGGGCAATTCTAGACGCCTAAAGCACCACAGAAAGAAATAAACACAGAGATAGAGCGTCAACTCGCAACTGATTTATTTGCAGGAGAAACGCAGGAAATATATAGCCGCACACGCATGTGCAGAGCACACTACTTCACCTTGTCACATGACCACAGACATAAACTGAGGGCGTTCAACCGGCATATCTAATCAAGAAACGAAGCGCAAAAATCAAACTCAGACTTGCGCAAGATGACTGACGTGTCACTTATACACAAGTCATCTTTTTTTCTTTATCCAGAACGCTTCCATTATTTCACAGGCCAGAGCATCTGGGCTTTTGGCGAGGACAGAAACGCTTGAAAACCTCGCCTCACAAGAACAGGAACGGCAATGCGCCGGCAAATGTGCTCCAGAATTATTTCGAATTGAAAGCTCATTTCAATATTGTGCCACTACCGAGTACCCTTCAGGTATGACCCACATAGTAAATATAGCAAAGATCTTCCTTCAAGAGCCAGCTATAGCTCCCCTGCAGGGGAGTCCGCACAAGCAGGCGTTTGGTGTGTAGCGACACCACGGACACGAGCTCACGGGGGGCTTCGACCTTTCCCGCGCCTAGCCATGCGTAGCTGAGCCATGTCCCGGGAAAAGGGGGGGGTCTAGGGAGTTGAGTCGACGCCGGGGGATCGGATCTTTAAGGCACCCCGGCAGAGGCAACACACTTCCTTGGCCACAGCTTCACGTAGAAGGCGCCCCTGGGCTGGCCCACCCAGGAAAAAACTGCAGTCGCCTTTTCCTATCTCTCTCCCCAACAACTTCTCCTTTATCTCTCACTTTTAGTCTGTCCTGTCTACTTCTCTCTTCTGTTTGCTTCCAATTTTTCTGGCGGTAAGGGTTAACCTTGCGCAAATAGCCTCCCCTTCATAGTTAGGCGTATTGAGTTACGGCATTGTTGTGCGGTTGACGTCTGCAAGCTTTGAGCATACGTAAACTTGCAGCGTCTCCTTGTAGGCTTCTGTGGTGGGAGGCCGCCAATGCTGTTGAATAAAATAAGACCGGCACGCATATAGCATTCCCCTTACTTACTGATCGTAGTGGCTTGAAGCGGGTACGCACCGATGACAAGCATTTTCAACCAGCCAACAGAAAACATTTCCTCACTTTCTCGTCTTTCGCTGTGAGAAAATTGGAAAGCAAGCCAGAACCATATGTCCTTTCGGCATTCTTACCGAAACTCTCGGGAGTGGATTCAAGAATACCAAAATGGCTAGCGGAGGCCTGCTCTTCGAAATTCAGGACAAAGAACAATTTGAAAAGCTAGACGGCCTCTAAACTTCTGGTGGGGTACCGATCGCCGTAACACCACACAGATCAATGAATACAACTCGCGGAGTGATATCTGGTGCACACTTACTTGACCAGGCCAAAACTGAACTTTTGGAGGGGTGGGAGAGCCGAAGTTTGACTAATGTACTGATAATCATCATCAATCAGAAGAGATTACAAGGATACACCAACGAAACACTTAACACTCACGCTTGCTTCCAGTGAACTCCCATAAATCATTCAAACAGAGTACACGAAGAGCTCTCTCAGGCCATACATACCAAACCCTCGTCATGGCTTTCAATGCCAGAGGTATGGCCATGGCTCTAAAAGCTGTCATGGTCGCCAGACTTGTGCACAATGTGGAGTCCTAGGCCACGTGTCTGAGAACTGCAAACAACCAGCACACTGTACACTTTGTGAAGGCAACCATACCGCATATTCATGCTCCTGCGCATATTGTAGGAAAGAAAAAGAGATAATTACACAGAAAGTGAAAGAGAAAATTTCATTTAAGGAAGCACGGTGAAGAGTATCACCATTATATGTACCTACATATTCTGATGCGGCGCGTAAGGAGGCACTGCCACACTAACCTTCGTCACTCCTTCGGCCCGCATATATTGAGCCGGTGGTTGTGGCACATGCCCCCAAGGCAGGTGTAGTCCCTACTACTCCGCCTACTCGCGAACAGAGACCGGAGACTCCAGGCTTCTCAGGTATGAATGTCTCACATCACCAGGCGAGGCCCAGAATTTGAACTACCAGCTCGCACGTGTGGGCGTTAAGTGCCTCCGAGGAGGCAATGGATACGTCGGTATTCTTAGTGCCGAAAGAGTGGTGTGGCTCCTTAGACCGCATCAAGAAAACAAAAGGGCAGATAATGGGGCCTGATGATGGCTCAGTTACTTGAATTCAAACGTCCCGCCTAAACAGCCGCTCGCTTTTTGTACACACAGCAATAATTTACATTCACCATGAACACTGAAATTATCCAATGGAATGTCAGGCGCCATTTCAGAAACCTTGACGATGTCCAAAAACTTGCACACGAACACTGAACAAAAGTGCTGTGTGTACAAAAAACACACCTAAATTCAAAACACACCGACTATCTTCGTAAATGCGCTACTTTCCCGAAAGGACCGTGATGATGTCAAGGCATAATATGAAGGTGTTGCCACTATAGTGAACCAAGGGATTGCATGCACACACTTTCAACTCCGATCATCTATTGATGCAATCGCTTTTAGAGCTGTGCTTTTCAATAAGCTGATCACAATTTGTACTCATTACGTACCTCCGAGCTATCACCTACAAAAACATGACTTGCAGTCCTTAATAAATGAGGTTCCGAAGCCTTATGGTCTCCTTGGAGACTTGAACGCGCATAGCAGGCTTTGAGGTAACTCTCGTTGTTACGCACGAGGTTGAGTGATTGAACAGTTCCTTGTCTCTTCGATTACGTGTCTTCTGAATCGAAAAGAACGAACGCAATATAATATCGCTACTATTACCTACTCCTGCATATACCTAAGCATAGTATCTCCGTCTCTTGTACCTCTACTCTAGTAGATATTCGTCAGCAATTACTACGAAAGTGACCACTTCTCCGTAGTTTTGAGCACAGCAACAACTAAGTGTCCTCCACAGGTTCGCAAATGGCTCGTAAACATAGGCAACTGGGGACAGCTTTATACCAATTCTTGTTCAGGTTGGAGTAATATATGTACTCTGAGCATTGATGCTGCTGTCAACTACTTCACAGCGTTTTTATTTACGTTGTAACGAAATGCAACCCACAAACGAGTGGACACTTTAGAAAACGACGTGTGCCGTGGTGGAACTCTGAATGCCGAAACTCTCGCCAACAGCAAAACAAAGCATGCATGTGGCTTTGTTGAAACAAGTGTGCTGACTTTCGGATGAGTAAATTTTCAGGAACATGACAAGGATGTTGAGGTGAGCTTGAGACCCCCGCTATAGCCTAACAACATGGCAGCTCGGATGCTAAAAATGTGGGCACACAAAACAGTCTGTGCCTTTCTAACTGCCGTTTCATGACGCCTGGTGTCGTGACTGAGCCGCGTAAAATGAATGTGTCCTCACAGTGATTTGATGTTACGGAACTCCAGCAAGTCGCTTCGTTTTAGTGGAGGGCTATAAGTTTCAAAAGCTTCTCTTCGCTTCCGTGCCGTCTGAATACTCTCGCGATGACAATGTGGAAATAATTTTTAGGTGACACTTATTATTGTGATTACTGAATTCCACCTTCGACATCAAGTAATATTCAGTGCCAATAGAGAAGAAAATAGCAAAAATGTACCAAATCAAGCGTCTGGTCAATTTGTATTTATCTCACTTGTTTGTTACAAACGAGAAGATGTACGCAGGCTTCAAATGAAATTCAGCACATGTCCCTCATAAACATCATCCAATTAGCATTGGACACATAACAAAAGTTTTTTAAATAACATAAGAAATATATGCGCTACCTATGTGGAATGAAGTCAAAGGCACAGCAAGAGCACTTTTTTTCAAAACTAATTCAAAGTTTAGAGATCACAGGCTCATCATAACAAGACTCTTGGTAAGTGAGAATGCGCACAAAAGTAAACTGCAAGGGGCAATGCCACCATGAAATTCATGCTGTAGACGCCATTATATATTTTCACCCTAGTGCATACGCAGTACTTAAGCGGTAAAATTTAATTACATTGAGCTCTGAGGAAGCCCCGACGTAAGGACCAAGTTTCATAAAATTTTGTATATTGAATGTCTCTAAAAAAACTACAAATACAGTTTGAAAGCCGTTACGTCTTGGGCGCTGATTTGAAAGCGAATTTTTCAAAATAAACTTCCGCATTATTTTCTCCTCCATCATTGAACTTGTAACGGCGAATCGAATGACACACAAGTTCTGATAATACGCTATCAGTGTGAACTACTTGAGTGTTTCACTTTAGTGGCCTTTCAGAATAATTCAAAATCCAGGCCCTGCCCAACCCGAGCCCGGACTATCGAACCCATGCACGACTTTAAGGCCGCAGTTTTATTCACAGTGCCGAACCCACTATGAAACAAGCTTGCCCGGCTGGTGCGCGGATTTTCAAGTATGCCCAAGCCCATGCAGCGCTCTAGCTGACCCCGAACAATAAGTGTTTACATACTGCAGCCACATTCAGTGTTCGATGATGACTTGTACTTCTCTGTTATTGCATGTCTACAGAAACCAATTTTTTATTGTAGCAATGTAAGAAGATTTTATTGAGTGCCGAAAAACTTTGTGGCAGGTGTAAACATGTGACTTTTATTCAACAATTAGGCGCGTGACGCCCACTTACTTCGTCTTGTTCGCATTGAATGGCAGAGTACCATGTTGGGTGCCCATTACAATTGCATACGTGCATGAACTCCTTGTAACAGGTTATGATGTTCTTCGTAACAGAAGGATTCTTCACCCAGAGTTCTTTGCTTTCGAGTGCATCTACAAGGCGAAATTGCGAGCATTTAGAATGTGGCTGTTTATCGAATGCTTCGATTATTTAGGAAGTTTGGTAGACTAACTAGCTTCCAGTAATTGATGCTACAAAGTTTTAAGCGTCAAACTAACCGAAAATAGTAGAAGGCTAAGAAAACCAAGAGATTGAAGACAATGAAGATATCTGGTACCGATTGGCAGTATCGCGGTTAGAAAGTATCACTTCGGTGAGGTGGTGCGTGTATAGCTATGTATCGAGATCGGCGAGATCTGGCATTGCAGGAGCATCGGGATCCTATCTTCCAGATGCTATTCAGTATCTGTATTTCTGTATCGACAGGCATTTGAAAATTGTGTTTGAATTGTAGTAGTGAAATACTCTTACAATGAGTCCCGCAGAGGTGGTCTATCGGCTAAAGTACTCGGCTGCTGACCCACAGGTCGTGGGATCGAATCCCGGCTGCGGCGCCTGCCTTTCCGATGGAGGCGGGAATGTTGTAGGCCCGTGTGCTCAGATTTGGGCGCACGTTAAAGAACCCCAGGTGGTCTCAATTTTCGGAGCCCTCCACCACGGCGTCTCTCATAATAGTATGGTGGTTTTGGGGCGTTACACCCCACATATCAATCAATCAACTCTTACAATTATTTGAATATATCATAAATTTGTGCTTGATGATGGCAACTTGTCGCTTTTTTTGTAAAATGATAAATACCCCTTTTTGGAAAGGGGTATTTTTGTGGTAAGCTAAGTAAATGCGAACCACAAGTAGCGGATGGTTCTCCCCTGGCATAGAATGACCAATGTAGTAAAGCGTCCAAAGAAGCTAATGGTATAAACGCTGAGACAGTATTATCAGCCTTGACGACAACGTCGCTATTTTTGAGGGCTGGTGAAGCAATTCATATTTCGTTTTTGGGGAGCTGAGGAGGTGGCAGTCATATTGGGAGCTCGCAAGTGTTGTGGTGAAGCCAAACCAACGCTGTCTAGCAAAGGCACTGAGAAGCTGTTGCTTTCTGCACAGCTTCTCAGTGCACATCTGTTCATTATAAATGCGTGCTTACTCTGAATTAACTGGTGTGCGTTAGTGACTCGAGCGATCTGCTTTACTCTCACATTCCAAGGCACTTCTACGTTATTTACAATTTTATTTTGTACTTGAAAAATGTTTCTTCGGAGTGTAAACTTCCCCGAAATAAAATGTATTCCAGTATTTCTATCTGAATTCCATCTCCTTTCCGCGATACTTTCTTGTCTTATATTAATGTATTCCTAAAATATTCCTTTACGTCAATAAAGTTTGTTTGTATCTTCATTGCAGTCTTCCAGCACGTGTAATCTTATATTCATATTCGGTAATACTTTTTCACTTTTCCAAGTATTTCTGCCTAACCCTGGTATACGGCATGTTAACTGTACACTTTCAGTTGTATACTACTAATTATGATATAAATTTAGAGAACGTACAGTGAAGAAAAGGCAAGCTACCACCCGCTGATACCCAACTTGCAACTTTCGGATAAGGCACAAGATGATTCACCTATTATGATACGGCGGCCATCATCCTCTCGTCAACTTTATCGGGTATTCATTTTCACACAAGCCTAAAAGTGTTGGTTGGCATTACTTTGAGCCATGACGGCGAGTGGCGAACACTCTTTCTAACCTGCTGGCATCCCGGGGCACTTGAGCTTTCACGGAGAGGGCAGCTGATCTAAGCCCTTGCCTAATACCTGATCGCACCGTAACTGCCGGCGCGAGACCAGCGCAATGAATGATCAAAATAACAGAAACTGGAGGGCTCGTTTCTTCGTTCGATACAATCATAATGAAAAACAAGAGACAGCTAAATAATGACAGTGTAGAGGACGCTAATTGTATTGTTTTAACTGTGTTGTAGTAATAATCATATCGAAGTTAAGAAGGTGACGTGAACAAAGAGATAACTTGCCACAAGCACAGGCCAAACCTGACAAACTGTTTGATACGAGTGCATAAGCTGGCTCTATATTTATGATATTCTCTAGTGCCACATAGAGAGTACCAGACTAAAGTCTTTCCTCGATATTATATTATCTCTAAGGATCCACAAAACTCTTTTTGGTTTTGCATCAGCTATCTCTACCAGCTCACTTCTCGATTTTTGTAATTGCCTTTCATTGAGTAGTCAATCGGCAGTAAATGAAATATTCAGTGTAAATACTACGCCATTTTTGTTTTATGTTTTAACTCAAGCGTCAACTGCTGCACTGAAGCAAGTCGTAAGGCGCAATTTTCATTCACGTGTCTATGGTGTGGGAGCACCCTACGCCTCGTCATGCAAGGCTGAAATGTGATGGACGAACCTAAAAAACACTGCAAAAATTTGGCAGTTTTGTAAAAACCCATTGTGCTGGTAGACCAAGATTTAACAGTAATTTACAGACTTATCTATTATCTTGGTGTAAACTGCACTTTATTACAACGCTTTAGAGCTGGGAATCTGTGCAGATCACTGCGGCTCAGCCTAACGCGTTTTCAACCAACCATTCGCATTACGACATCTATTCGAAGCGTGACGTAACCTAGCCTGCTGATCTGATTGCATGTGGAGTGTACGTAAGATTGGCTCGTAGTGTGGCGGAACCTGTAGGAACGGATATCAACCCCTCAACAATGTTCGTCTCTGTAGCCAGGTGCTGCGTGTGCTGCAGGGCTATAGCTTCCGAGATGCACGCACCCTGTCGACGTGTAATCTCGGTAGTCAGGAATGGGCGAAACTCGAATCGTACAGTGCGCTCATGAAATCTCGGCAATCGCCAGCGATACCAGCGTGTGTCTTGAGTGGAAGACGCAAGGCAGGAGGTAGAATGAGGGTATAGACATAATTGTCCGTAGCGGCCTTGATACAGGACGTGTCACTGATCTTACGGTGAAAAAGGTTTCGTGATGCTTTAACCTAGACACTGACAATACTTTGAGAACCGTTTCGGCACCCTTTTAACACTCAACTATGTTGAATAAAAAGAAAACTAAATATCGAATAGACGAACTATCCAGCATGCAGCGGCCCATGCAGTCCTGTTTGAGAAAACTTAGTCTCTTCACGCCAAATGTGGAAAACGTCCTCAGTCGATTCACCCAAAGCCGTGAGCACCAAAGATACAGCCACAAAACTTTTTAAACATTGCGGAAGGTGTGTTTGTGTCGTCTTTTTCTTCGCGGTGTGTCTGTGTTGGCGCTATAAAAGTACTTATATGAGTATGAACCAACTAGGCCTAGGAGAAGTGTTATTGAAACTAGGTGCATAACGGATTCATCAAAGATCAGTAACTTCCCCGAGCCTTCGACGAGTCTGATATGCGGAAACAGGGTGTGGTGCTTCAGGAATAGTTGTCCGACTGTAAAGAGTTAGATGACCTTGATAGGCTAGTTATTCCGGTGTAATAATGGCTGCTTCATTTGCCTAAATGGCACTTCAATGTTGTCCACGGAAATGGGCGGCACAAAATCCTGCCTTGTACATTTTACGTACCGTATGCAGAGCAATGCCACTCAAACTGAAGAGAAAAACAAAATCTTTCTATTGTACTTAATGATGAGCATTTAACGTATGATGTACTTCAGAATGAACTTTTTAGTTTACTTTATAATGTACTTGACAATGGGTAAGTACTTTATAGTAAGCCCTATCGTGGTTTGTGGTACAGTAGCGTCGTATGAAACATGTAATGTTTTGCGGAAGTTCTTTATGCAAGATATGTCGGGGTGGGGTGAATGATACGAGCGCCTCGTACAATCAGCGATGCCGCCGTTTCGAATAAATATTGGAAAAGCTCTTCTGAACTTGAAAAAAATTATTGGTAGCCCTGCCTGAGGTCGAAAAGATCAGTAGGAATTATACACATTTCTTTTCAATCACACAAATGCAGGTAAACACTACACTGCAACATAACCGAAACATCATATTTCACGATGATTGTCATATGACACATGAAGCCATCAGTGAAGTTTTTGACCATTTTAGAAGACCAGATGTCTTATGCAGATACATCTAGAAAAAGCTACTACTTCATACACTTTGCGACATATTGCAAACAAAATATAGCAGAAATTACATTAAGTAGCAAAAGTTGGGTCACAGCTGAGCCAATGGGAATCTATCTGGCTCTGGCTTTGTTGCCCTTTCACCATCTCATTCGTTTCATTCCCAATTCTCGCTATACTATGACACACATGACTATGCTTTCTCCTGTTCATTTTTCATGTTCTTTGTACTTGTTTCGCTGTTCTTTCCCTCAATGCGTAATTATTTCGCGGTTTTCGAATCTTTTCTGTTTATCTTGCATTTGTTCTTCTTTTTTCTGCTATTTATGTAGTTATGATGCCAAGCTCTCTTGCGAAGCTGCTCTTGTTCAAGGGCAAGTCGCTGGTTGCGCCATGCCCACTAGTTCTCGAGGGTCATTATTACAGAATCAAAGTGTGCCTGCTGCAATATGGAACGGGGCTGCATTCCCTGCTTAGCGTACAAGATTTTGCAGAACCAGTGCATAGGTGCCCTCACGCACCGGACGGTAATTCGGGCTCCATCTCATGTGGGCCTCGATGGCAATGATCCGGCCGTTGCTATTATCCGCGCGCTTACTCTTCGGGCACAATCCTCGTCCCTTTACAATTCAGACCTTAAACCAAGTCCCACTGGCACAATTAGGAAGGTTGCTCAGTTTTATCAATTCGCCATGAACTCTATTTAAAACCCTGTAAGGACCTCACTAAGGTGGAGGAGTGGGCTCTCCATCGCCTTTACACGAAAAACTTTATTGTGCCCGGCAATGCCGAAACATGTCAACCCCGCTGACACGGTGAAGTGCCCGCGCTGTGAGGAAAGTTCCTGTGGCATTTTCAACATGGTGTTGACATTTTAGAAAACTCCCAACCTTACTCCTGTACGCAATCATTCCCGGGAGCACTGGGAGGTGGCTCTGCTCTGCTGTTCTAGCCTGACGCCCAACGGGACTTGGTTGAGCGC